AACATAATTTTAGAAGATGCATCCATGCAGTATAAGTTTGTGTCAGTTGTACCCTTCAGTTGTTGCTAGCTAAATCGCATAGAAAATGACTAACCTCCGATGAGTGAGGGGACTTATTTACTACATTTCATTTTGATTTAGTCAATTCATTGTTGAACATAAATCGGTCAATTTCGTGATATTTGAGATGATTACCTTCTGGATTCATGTAAATGGTAATATGCGAGAATTGTCCCCGAATAGAAGGCATATGATAATTGAAACATTTCGCATAATAACAATGCAGATACATGATAAAATGATGCAGTGGACAATCATAAATTTTCTATTCATAATTTATAGTTAAGAATTAGCTATTCTAAATAGCTAATTCTTAAATATAAATTATGAATAGAAAATTAAGAGATTTCAAATATTCATCTTTCAGCTATTCGATAAAAATGTTAGTATTACATTTCTTGCAATGTGCTGTATGGCCACCGATCCTTCCGAATCTACGCAAAATTGATCCGAATCGGTTCGGCGGTATTAAGTATAATGTTCCATTGGAAAAATTGCAAATTTTTGACCGATCACCTGAATTACCACCTGGTTGGTTCATTCGTTATGAATATTGCTGTTGTTGTTGTTATGATCATTCTCTCATCTTCAGTAGATGCTTGCCTTATTTGTTATCAGTAATTCTTTTTCTATTTGCTATCAGTAATTCTTTCTGATTTCGTGTATAATATTAGTAACCGTATTTGTTATCTAATGAAACCAAATTTCGCGATGTCATCCATATGGTTCGTTATGAGTTAAAATGATTTTTTTTGAGTAAAACTCAAAGTTTTATAGTGTTTTGCACTCTTTCACAGTGTTGGCTAGAAATACTTTAGATATCAGTAGTATCACATCAGAACCACGTCCGTAACGCAGAATATAAGGAAAGGAAGTGTAAATGATACAAACTTGTTTAGATCGTCGACGGAACTGTAAAACGGTTGCTGAATTGTTGATGGCGTTTTTCGATTATTATGCCAGGTTCGATTTTGCAAATCAGAAAATATCAATGCCTCAAGCACGTGTCTTAGACAGAGAGAGACCATTTCGTGGGTAAGTAATGTTTTTGATGTATTTTTCAATTTTGTTACATATATAACGAGCTGTGAAATTATTTGAATTTGCAAAGTTACGCATGCAAAATGACATCTGATTCAGTGGAATTTCATCGGCGGCATGAAAGCGCTGATTTCAAATCGATTCAAGCAGTGGCGTAGTTGATTTATTGCAGCTGTGAAACATGGAATATTTTAAA